TCCTCTCCTCTCCTCTCCTCTCCTCTCCTCTCCTCTCCTCTCCTCTCTTCCTGTTCTCCCAAGCTCTGGTTCCTGTAACAGGTTGCTGCCCATTTTTTCTTGCGTATTGCTGTGCAGGAATATAGTAACAGTAACTGTTTTTGAAGCAGGAGGAGAAAAAGGTTAATGAGTTGTGAATGTGCACAGTGATCTTTAGAAAAGTTCTGAGTGAAAGCATACAAAAGAAAGTAGTACCAGATGTATGTCATGTCATTATTTTATAAATCAGACCATAAAATTGTATTTGGTATGTGTAGGTTAAAAATGAGGGATTATCTTTGTTTCCACAACTGGACTTATGCCTTCTAGCAAAAGAAAATAAATTCCAATTAAATGCAGAGCAGAGCTGTAAATAGCAGTGGCCTGGTAATTACTGCACCAACTTAGATGAAAGTATTACTTAGCGATTAAATGTCAACAGGTTTCATAAACAGCAAATGTCTTTAAGTTGACATAAAGAAGACCTCTCTGGAGGTCATTGTAAATACCAGATTTATTGTGCCTCAGTGGAGAATGTGCTGAAAATGGAAAGGGCAGTGTCACTGTGGATCTTTGGAGCAGTGTCTCACTACAGCAGGAGAGCTGTTAGTGCCTGCAGTAAGATAGTTTTTATTCCTCAAACCAACTGTTGACAAACCATATTCCATACATGCTGTATTAATGAGAAAAATGTTCCTTTTTCAGGTCAGACTATGATGACTGGAGACCAGCCCTGGCCAGCTTGCTTCAACCTATCCCATTTCCCAAGGAGTAAGTTTGTTCTGTCTTAGCATTTACTTGATTATTTGCATTCCTGTTGTTTTGTAGTGCAACATAGTGTAAAACATGATGATAAGAAGAACTTTGTGCCCCAAGTATAAGTTTAGATTATAGAGTTGAATTTACTGATATGGAGATACTTGAAGTCCTCCCCATCCTCATTTCTTTAAGAGGACCCTGAAGAGCAAAATGGTTAACAGGCAAGGAAGAAAGGAGAGCTGGTGAGGAGAGCTAAGTGAGAGGTGTAGTAGAGGAAGATGCTTTACTGGTGTGACAGAGACTTGTATCATTTATACTTACAATTATGTGAAGAAGCTACCCTATGGATCAGCCTGGCTCCCTCAGAAACCTGTTAATGAGCAGTTGTGTTCATAAAATGCAGACCTCCACGGACAAACATTACAACCTATAATTGTACAATTTGCTGGCTTATCACATCCCCTAATGACCTAATGTCTTGAATCAGAGAAGTCTAATCCTCTGTGCCAGGTTACCTGGGCTACAGCAAGAGCTTGGAAGTAGGCAACAGAGGCATGATTTACCTAAGTTAAATTTGAGCCCTGGGAGAGCTGTAAGCCACACCATGAGCAAAACACCTCACAGAATGACCATTAATTGTTTTCCTGATGTATGATGTTAATTAGGTGTGACCATACCTTAATTGCAGTGCAGTTTGAGTATTCATCTGGCTGTTGGAGGTAGCCAAAATTCTGTTTATAATTATGTAGCTGTTTTGCTAGTCTTTTGTTTGATTCTATCTGACCCTAAGGTCCCTCTGATGTTAATGGAAAGATGCTTTACCTGATATTTTTTTGAAAGATTATTCTTTTTGCCTTTTGTGTTGTGTTGTGTTTGTGTCTAGTAAGTCCATTTATTATCTGGAATGAACTGAAAAGTGTGTTGTGTTTTGTTCTGTTTTGTTTTGTTTTCCCCCTCCCTCTTCCCAAATTCTCATACCTGTCTGTTTTAAATTTCAGGGCACTTGCACACGAGAAATTCACAAAGTAAGTTGATGCTTGTTTGTTTTGTTAAGGGGAGCAATTATTTAAAAAACTTGTTCTAGTCAATAGCAGTAGTGATGTATTATTCAATATTGTATCTCTGAGGTTTGTTATCTGTGTGGTGCTGTGAGCATGTTCTGTTAGCAATAAAAAGATGTACTTTTCTTTGTAATTTACTGTGACAGCAGGAGCCCAAGGACTAAAGGCACTGGATTCTGATAGAATTTACAAACCAGTTTGTCACTGCACATCTCTGAAAGCTTTTCTAGACTGTTTTGAATAGACTCTCTTCTTAGTGATCGCTTTCAGACTTCATATTTCCTTCTGTGGAAGCAGCTTGACTTTTATCTCTCTAAAGTACGTGAATATATATTGTGTAAAGAGTAATCCAAGGGAGCTGTGACACTTGTGTGAATACTGCAAGCAACAGCTGCCTGTACTTGTCCTTTTACATTTCTTTTTTCTTTTTTTTCTCTTTTATAGAGAGCTGAAATACGTGATTCAGAGATTTGCAGAAGACCCAAGACAAGAAGTAAGTTTATTGCCCGTTTGCCCAGAGCATTAATTGGAAGGATCTCGTTCAGAAGGTCCTTCCTTAAGAGGTCTGTTTCGAAATGTGTGCTTTGGCTGTGCTTGAGGCTCTAGGGAGAAATACCCACTCAGGAGATACTGTTTTACGAGTGGTTTCTTGTCTTATATATAAACATACATTTGTGACCTTCTGGCCTGAGCTCAGTTAATGTCCTTGCTCTGCAGTAAACTGCAACCAGTCTTTAGATTCTCTCCCAGTTTTTCATCTTCCATATGAAAAAAGGGAAGCAAACTGCATGGATCCATGCAGCTCAAAAAATGACAGGTTTTACTTAGCTGTTTTTTAAGTTACACTGTCTGCAAATGACCGTAATTCGTGTAAATCAGCAGGAGAAAGAGGGTAGGAGGCACGTTGCTGGGATGACTGTGTAGCTGTAGCCTCTCGGTGGCTGACTGCTTCCTAGCTACATATGTAACTTATTTAACGTGAGCAGCTTTGGCTGAATCAGAGGGAACCTCTCATCTGCATTCATTTTTGGTGCCAGCACAAAGGAGAGAAAGCTCGCCTGAACTGTGGGTGAGGAGCCTACATTGTCGTCATGGCCCAGACTCAACGTGTTCAGTGTTTCAGCTTTTGTGAGCAATAGTCACCTGTGTTGGATAACAAAGACCTTCTTGTTTTAGACTGACATCAGGATTTCATCTCCATTGTTGCATACCCAAGTAAGGGTGCATGGACCTTACCCCCACCTCCTCAAAAATTAGAACGTAATTTCTGTGTCCCTTCAGGGAAAAAAAAAAAGGAAGAAAGCTTCATGGTGATACTTCTGTTAGAATGTGAGAGTAGATACAGTAATCATTCTAGCGGGCCAAATTTAGACAAATGATGGTACACCAGTTTATATGTACCAGTTCTTCTGTGCAACTTCCACCTTACGTATTCCTGTTGAGTTTTCTGTGTTGGCTTCCTTCATCCTGACTTTAATAAGTCTTATTACAGCAGGAGAAATGAGAACTGTACATGATTGGAATGAGCAAGCTATCCGCCACTGCATTCAGTATTTGTATCACGTCAGAAGTGTAGACACATGCTGGGAGAACAGGGGGAGAATGGCAGAAGCTCAGAAATCTAGGCTGCTTTTTTTTTCTTTTTTGTTGCATTTTTATTCCCAAGTAAAAGGAGCTGTTCTAGATTAGACCCATTTTGTGTTTGATTCCTGTACAGCAAATAAAAAAGGGGCATGCGATTAACAGTGGCATAGCTTCCCTCCTTCTCTGTAGTGGAAAGAAAGGGTTTCTGTGTGTGAAGACTTCCTAACGTGTAAATTGTAATATTAACCATGAAACTTCCAGTAGACCCCAGGTAGGCAGGGTTACCTCTATTGGTGCAGTGTGGGAGACACTGGTGATTACTGGCAGGGTCTGTAACCTTCCCAATGTCTTTGCTTTTTGGCAGGTCCACTCATGTTTGCTGAGTGTGCGGGCTGGCAAAGATGGTTGGTTCCAGCTCTACAGCCCTGGAGGAGTGGCATGTGATGATGATGGAGAGCTGTTTGCCAGTATGGTACGTGTCTGCAATAACATGGGTTTAGTAACTTGTTTGCAGTAAGTAGGTAATGCATAGCTGGCAACAAAAAGTTTTACTTGCATTTAAAAATATATATGTGTAAGTCATACTGAACATTTTAGGACATGCCTGTTCTCTTAAATTCAGATTGACCTGTGAAAGAGTGGGCAAAGACTGTTCACAGAAGGGTTCATCTGTTTTCACTTTTCTTCTTATGTTTGCAAAAGAAAAAAAAATATGTCCAGAACTAAATCATTTATCCTGAGAGCCTTTGTGGTCCATGATATTTATAAGCATCAGGAGGTGGTGTGCATGAGAAAGCACAATGCTAACATACATTAATATGCAGTATTCTATGCCTTTTGCAGAGATGCTGATAAATACTTAAAGAGCTGCTAATGACTAATCATAAAATCCAAAAAACATCCTGTTCTGAGATGGGCTTTATATTAATCTTAGCATCAGTATTTTCCATCACTTAAGAAAACCTCCAAAAATCTTAATGCCAATGACTGCATAAAGTAAAATCTTTCTTAGCTTGAAGCTCACTTCCTTAAAGGTGTTCTTCTAAAGGCCTTCTTGGTAATGCTGGTAGTGCAGCCATAAGGAAGAGGAGTTGTGTGGTAACACTTGACCTTCTTTAGAATTGACCTCATCATGGAATGACTGTGGTATTTTCAGTAGTATTGAACATAGCCCAGGCAACACTGTGGACCAAGGAACATGAGTTACAAGCTTTTTGTAGAGGGGTTCTGGTATTCTACATGGTGGACCTCTTAGTGCCCAGGTCACTGGAAACTACACATTGTGTTCTGCCAGCAAGCTGGTGAATCAGCCGCCTGGGCCATAAAATGAAACTTTCAGCTGGGAACCCAAAATCTTCTGAAATTAATCTCTAGGGTTTTTAAATGGGAAAGGACATTGCCATCCTCTTGTGAGATGAGACTTCGATTGGTATGAGTAGCTTTGCATTTCAGCTATGGATGTCACTGCGATATCTTCCATTCTATCTGGAGCTAGGAGAGCGTCTGCAGCACACTTCTGTCTGCTAGGAGTCTTCCTGAGTTTTCTCAGCATGTCTTTCCTTTCAGGGCAAATAAAGCAAAAGGGAAAGGAAGACAATGGCCCAGGTAGAGCAAATGAAGTTCTGACTTACAGGAACATAAGGTTGAGGATTGCTGGATTTTCACTGGGCACTTCTTCCTTTCCTCACCAGTTCCATTTTCTTCACTTTGAGAGATGATTTTCTCCGTCACCACTCCTTACCCAAGGCTAGTGCTCAGCCTGCAGATTGCCAGCACCATTTTTACATACAGCCCTTGCAACCCTTGATTTCCAGCTGGCATTTCCAGAGAAACTGAGCTGCAAACAGCAAGGAAAACAAATTCTCCTGTGCTTCCCCTGGAGCTGGGGTCATTGTGTTGCTAGGAATGGGATGGGGACAGTTGCACAGCTGCTCCGATATTTCCTGCAGAGATTTTATCAGGCTGTCAGCTGGGCTGCTTTGCAGAGGAAAGCTACCCATTCCCTCCCATCATTCCAGGCATTACCTTGTTCAAAAAGTGACTTCTAGTCAGCTATACAGCTACAAAGAAACTGCAGCCCTAATAACAGTGGAGACCTCCTTTTCTTTATTTGTCACGAGTACTTCTGTTTGTTTGAGTGCATAACAGTGTCCATTCTAGATATGTGTTTCTTAGGCTTACACTTCTAATTTAAGCTATTTGTTTCTCAAATAGGTTCATATTCTAATGGGATCTTGCTATAAAACAAAGAAGTTTCTGCTTTCACTGGCTGAAAATAAATTAGGACCTTGCATGCTGCTGGCCTTGAGGGGTAACCAGACGATGGTAGAGGTAAGCCCGTAACATACGTAATCATACGGTTTATGAGCAGCATTAAGATTCAGTTTCACACTGCCTTCTCCAGAATTAGATCCCATGGAACTAGAGAAGCTGAGTTCAAGTCTGTCGTATCAAACACCAGTAGCAGGCAGTTGTGTTGTGAAATATTGTTGCTCTGCAGATATGTGTGAATTACATGAGAGGTGAGTCCAAGAATTTTTGGACAAAGGGATCGTTTGCTCTAATCCACTTGGAGGGACAGTGATGGGAAATAAATGGCAATGAATGCACAGGCTGCAGCAGAGGATCAGAATTCAGAGCAGTGAGACTTCCTGTGACTAAATGCTCGATGCTTGTCCTGCCACCTGCAGAATCAGCACTGAAAGAAAGTGCATTTATCAAAAGCATTTACTTGTATTTTCAGTGTTTAGGACATGTTATTTTTCTTGCATTAATAGCAAATACTATTTTTTGCATTCCTTCAGAGAAGTTTCTTAATAAATGCCAAAGGGAAATAGAAATTGATTAACTGAGTGGAAGAAGTCACAATGTTTTGCAATTTAATGTTACTTATCTTCATTAAGAAGTACCTGCAATTAAAATGGAAAGCTTTTATTGCCTCCATAGCTGCAATGACATAAGTAGCTGAAAATGAAGGGCAGCATGGAGAGTACAGGCTGTGTCCCACTGTAGCATCTGCTGGGGTCTGCCTTGCTTCTGGGGCATCAGGCACAGTCCCAGTGATGGAGGGTGTCTGGCTGCAACATTCAGCTCCCCGTGCCATTTTCACTCAGCCTCTCAAACCTCTCCCCATCGTATGTTGGGTGCACTCCACATGCACTTTGTTGGTACATAAAGCCCAGCTCTTAGGGACAGAAAATCCAGCACTTGGCTGGCTGCATGGCTCTACTGCTCATGCTAATATCCCAAATCTGCTACTCAGCAGTCCAGCCAGTGCAGCTGGGAAATACCAAATCGATTGTACCTGTTCTGATGAGGGCTGTGGCATGAAGCCATCTTCCAGCACTGATACAAAGTAATTGCGCCTGTTGGTCAGAAGGAATGAGCACTAATGGAAGCCAGGATAGATAGGGTGACTTTCAGAGACTGGAGGTCATTCTGTACAATAAAAAAATGTGTTTCTTGTACTGGGAAGTCAGTAAATGTTAAGATCTCCCCCAGTCTAGCCTCTATAATGCATCCTCTAAAAACATACCCAGTAATTTAAACTAGCATGCCCAGGTGAATTAGAATATTTGGAAAAAAATGAATGCAAGCACTGCAGTGACTGCTCTTCTTTCATTCTGCTGCTAGATTTTGTGTTTGATGCTGGAATACAACATCATCGATAATAATGACACCCAGCTCCAGATCATCTCTACTCTGGAAAGCACAGACGTGGGAAAGAGAATGTATGAACAGCTGTGTGACAGGCAGAGGGAGTTAAAAGAGCTGGTATGTCACCCTGCATGCAGTATTGCCATAGCACACTGTGGTCTGTACTCGCCAGAAATGGAGGTACAAAAGAAAGACAAGCAGGGTGTGAAATTCCTGGTTAACAACAGGATGGGAGCAGTGTTCAGGGGATCCCATTGTGAATGTATATGCTGTGTGATATTTGCTGAAGTATCTGATCCCATACTAGGTTTCTGAGTGATAATCAGGAAGCTGCTTGGAATCTGTGTGAAAGAAAAGGGGTGAAATCTTGCTGTCTTAAAATCTTGTAAGTCAGCTTGTCAAATTCTGCCACCTTTTGACATGTGAGTAGCAAATGGTCCTAGTGCTGGCCAGCATTTCTTAATGCTTTGACATTCGGAACATTTCTCTGAGGTCTAGTTCACATCACAGATTTTTCCTAATTTTAAAGACGGGGTCCACAGGCAGTAGATAAATCTGCTCTCATTAGCACTTCATCTGCAAATGTACCCGTGGTCTTCCTCTTCCTTTTTTCTTACTTGTATTTCTCCTCTTTGACCCCCTGCTTTCAGCCTGTAAAGAATGTGTTTTTTATAGTGAAGTAAATGATTTTATCAGCTGCACAGTCAGAGGCTGAAGCAGAGATGCTGACCCATGGCATGAAGACCACTGGCTGTGGTTAGTTGCATTCCCTGGGGAGGCATCTGGCACGCACAGGAAAAGTCTGTTGGTGCAGAAAAAGCAGGGAAGGGGTGGAAGGGCTGGCAGGGGGCTTTGAAATCAGAGCAGGGTTCATTCTAGGGAAAAACTCCCTCTGCTTCAGTTGGTCTGAAATGTAATTTGGCAATCTCTTTGACCAAAATATCTTCTCTCTTGCAGCAAAGAAAAGGTGGTCCCACGAGGTTAACACTGCCATCAAAGTCCACAGTAAGTTAATCTTGCCAATAAAAAAAACAAGCTTTGTCTTTCCATATTTAAACCTTGATTTATGTTTGCCATGTGGCACAGTGGTTTCGGTCAGTCAAGAGAGGAGCCCTTCCACTTGCTCTGTCAACATGACTGGGGTTTGCATGAGCAAGGGCACACTGCTGTTCTTGCAGCAGCGTGCAATGCCAGTACAAGCAGCAGGTCGTCAGGTTTACAGTGGTGCACAGGCTTGGAATGTATGATTCAATCAAAATAGAGATCTGAGAACCAGATTTTGCATTTAAAAAAGCAGACTTAATAATGTGCAGTTCTACATTTTACACACTGACTTCTGCTGAAAGAGGTCCATCTCTGGTGCAGTTTGAGGGCATTGTAAACCCAGAGCAGCATCACTGAAACCCAGGTAGCGTATCAGAGCCCAGTGTGGGTCTAGGATGTGCAGTGACATCTGCATTAAGCTGAGAAGCTCATCTTTGGGGTTAGTTCTGAAACTCATGCCTTGGTGTCTCGTAAGGATACGCACTCCAAGAAGATTTCTGTCCTACTGTCTGGATGCATTTTTCCCAGGGTGTGTGAAGCAATGCTGCCACAAGAGCCCAGCTGCTTGCCAACAAACAGAAACTTCTCTGTGTGGTTCTCTGTTGCTGTAAACAAGTGGTGGAACTGTGCAATCCGTGCTGGTTAGCAGGAGCAGCGACACCACTGCAGATGGTTGCAGGCTGAGGAGTTGATAATCTTGCTCATCAATCTGATGTTTGCTTTCAGGATGCAGACCTGGCCCGCTTGCTAAGCTCGGGATCTTTTGGAAATTTGGAAAATCTCAGCCTGGCCTTTACCAATGTAACAAGTGCTTGTGCTGAGCACCTCATTAAACTGCCTTCACTCAAGCAGCTGAACCTGTGGTCAACCCAGGTAAGTGCTTTGCAGACTGAAACTCAGAGCAGGAACCCGTGCTGATTAATTCTGAAATTTCACGTTACGTCAGCATGAGACAAATGTGTGAAGAGGTTTGCTTGGAATGAGTTTGCCTTCATGCTGTTTTTACAGGGCCTATAAAAAATGGTCTGCCTTATCCCCAGGGTTCATTTTTTTGTAATTTTTATTTTAAATTTTAATTCAGTTTTAATTATTAAAGGATTGCATTTGTCTGGGGTTGGAAGCACCAGTTTGGCATTGTTGGAACTGCGTAGTTCACAGTATGTCTACTGCTGTTTGTTTGTTGGAGAAGAGTTCATGCTTTCACCCATTCAGGACACACACAAAAAAAAAAAACAACACAAAAAAAGATCACTGTGCAGCTTAACTGGTCAAGCAAAGCAGACAGGCTGTGTGTTGTAGGTAGTGAATGGCCCTGAATGCTGGTCAACTAAAATTTCCTCAAAAACAGCAAGAAAATAAACTCAAATAATGAATAAATATAAGGAAACTGTAATGAGAATGTAGTTATTCTGTAAGCAAAAACAGGGCTGATTAACTGAATAAATCATTGAGCAGTTAATGGAAAGAGTTTTTAAAGTAAATTTGTTCTTCTGCAATTCCCTGCTGGTTTTGGTCTCTGAGATCTCCCCTCAAGAGTTTTTCCCCGTTTTCTATTAGCACCTATTTGTAGTGCTTACTGAAAATATGAATGTTCCCAGTGCAGCCACAACAGGCAGTACTTTTTTTCACTGAAATGTCATGTAAATATCTTGCCTTGTTTTCCTAACTATTTTTATACCTCAGAAATTTCCCCTTTTTGTCTGGGGAGTAAGAAGCAGAATCTGATTCCTTGCAAGTTTCCAGACTATCTTGTATCTGTCTCCTCTGGATTTGTCCCAGCAGTGTAACTTCTGCATCTGAAAACTGAGTGTGATTTCGCTCGGCGCAGAGCTGCGTTTTGTGTGATAAAAAAGAGCTGAGATTCCATTTTACTTTGTGATACCCTGGTTTCCATTAATTGAGAATTTAGAACCAGCAGAAATGAAGTGGGTCAATAGAACAATTACTAATCAATAGGACATTGTTCTTGAGACCAAAATAACTAATTAATACCACTTGCCTCTTATGCTTTTTGTGATGTGGTTGGGAGCTGGCTGGGACTGCCATAGCCATCTTGTATAGCCTGGGAGGGAGGGAGCCCTCTCATACAAAGTCCTGACTTCTGAGGCACTGCTCTAATTAAATGGTGTCCTGTGGTTAAGCACTGGGTAGCCAGTAAGCAGACCTGTATTCAAACCCACAACAATTATCTGCAACCGTGCACAAGTTAGTTTTTCTATTCCCCATCCACAAAATATGAATAGAACTATCTACTTTTGCTCGTGTTGCTGGAGATTCAGGTAAACAGCCTGAGCTCAGCCCCAGTTCTGAGTGTGCGTTGTCTGCGCAATGATGTCCGTGCACTGTTTGAACACAACTTTGCTTGCCCCTGCAGTTCGGAGACGCAGGGCTGCGGCTCCTGTCTGAACACCTCACGATGCTGCAAGTGCTCAACCTGTGCGAGACGCCTGTCACGGATGCTGGGCTGCTGGCCCTTAGTTGTAAGTGACCAAAGCGAGCCGAAAGCCACGTGGGTGCAGGGGAATTCACGTGGTTCAGACAGCAGCTTTAGTTCTTGGCTGCAGGCAAGGAAAGGAGCGCTGTCGTCTGAGCCTGCTGTGGTGCTTTGTGGTTTTATTTTTTTCTGTCCCAGAGTGTACTCTCCCTCTTGCCTCTAGCTGTATTGATGTCATTTGTCTCCATCTCGCAACATGACCTGTGCCCTGGGACTTCCCAGCCATTTTCACACTCCCTGCTCCAGGCAGGAGCCACAGACCATCTTTTTAATGAGTTTAGCGACTGTGTGCGGCAGGTTCCACATCTCTGACATGTTTTGCTCCTTCTTTCTGAGGAAGAGGCTCAGACTGTTCTCATGTGGTTTAATATCAGAGCTAAGTAGGGCAAGGCAGACTGGGGTTGTCTGAGCAACATTCAGGATTCCCCTCTGTACCAAATGCTGCGTCATGTGCCAGAATAAGACTCTTTCCTATGTCCAGCAGTGAATTATAAACCTCTCCTACTGGGTTTAAAGGGCTCCTTTAATAGGCTTGATCTTACACAGACATGCCAGACAGGCCAGTAGTTACAGCTCCTCTTAGGAAACTATTCTGCTAAGTATTGGAGCCCAAAATGGAAGTAGGCCGGGGGGAGAAGGGCTGCTGGACCAGCGTGCCCCCTGTGCACAACAAGCAGAGCACTGAGAACTGCTCAGAATAATGTGCAGGAAACTGATGATGAGAAGTTCCTTGAACTCCTTTGAAGTCAGCAGACTAAAGCATATGCTTAATAGCCCTTCCTAAGTAGCGACTTTTTCCTGGATGAGGGCCCAAGCAGCTGCTTATCCATTTGTAGTTCTATATTTTACACTATTCAGCTTTTTCTGAGACACACAGTCATGTTTTGTTTATGCTTTGGCCTACTGTAAAACTGATATTTTGAGAAAAGGCAGCATGATCCTGAATACCTGTGTATTTTCTCTTTTAGCCATGAAGAGCCTGTGTAGTTTAAACATGAACAGCACCAAACTTTCAGCAGATACCTATGAAGATCTCAAGGTATTTCTGACTTCTGTCTGCTAAAGATGAGCAGTGGCTTGCCCGGGAGACTTGGCAAGTGCGTGTTGGTAGTGCCTAGCACAGAGAGCACTGGGCTGTTGGCATGGGTGGCCATCATCTGAAGAGGAAGGAGTGGATTATTTTGGGGGGATAACGACTGAGAGCTGCGTCCTGAGGTTGCTGGCTGTGATGGACTCGGGGAGTGTTTAGTCTGTTGAGTCAATGAGTCAACTATGGAGAACAGGGAGCAAAAGCCAAGTTCTTTTTTTTGCCAGAGCTATAAATTTTAATAAGTAAGAGCATAATGGTTGTTTCCAATGGGGATGCATAAAGAGGGAAATCTGGTGCACACCTCCAAAGTCATCTTCTACACTATGAGCAGGAACAGAAGTAATGTTGATGAGCAGCACTGCGAAGCTTTGATTCACAGTGCAAAGAGGGAATGAAAGACATTGGGGAAGGTGCAAGTTAATCTTGACACCTCTTGGGCTGGAACTGTGCTTTAAACAGAAACATCTGCACAAGTGCCTGGTTCCTTTGGGTGTGAGATGTAAGAAGTCTGGTGTTATCATTTGTACCATGAATTTACAACTGCTTCAGTGAGATGGTAAAGAACAAGAACAGCTGTGGGAGGGGAACAGCCCCAGGTGGTTTCAGGCAAAGACTGACTGAGATGTGTTGGCTTTCATGACTTCCCATGGACTTTTTCTTCACTCTGGTGTTACATGAGTCACGTCTCTTACCTTACCAACCTGAGTGCTCAAGATGAAACTCTAAATTATATTTTCTTGTGTGTTGAAACCTGAGATTGTGCCAGGTTTACTCAAAAAGGTCACAGCCTTGGGTCGAGCTTCAGACTTGTGGCAAGTCCTGAAACTGCTCTGCTTTCAAAATTCACTGCAAATGTATATCTTCAATTCTGGCTGTGGAGCCTGGTTTTCTCCAGAGACTCAGTTGCAACGTTGCTAGCACTGATTTTTCAGGATGAAGTTTTCAAAACTTGTGTCACAATTGTATATGCAAAGAAATCCTTGGAATTAACAGCTGGCTTGCAGATGGGTTCACACAATGGAGCTTGTATCGGGCGCCAAGCTTTTGCAGACAATCAGGGTCAGTGCTGCGTTTGGTCCAGGGCTGTGGAGGGAAGTCTACTGAAAGGCTGGCCTAGCCCTAGCCTGCTTCTGAGCCCCTCTGCTGCTCACTTGAGGCTGAAGCTCACATTTTCCAAACTGCTTCCCTTTGCTCTGATACTGCATGACCCAGTCCTCAGCAGCAGTGAAAGAAAGTGACTGCCAGGGCAGACAGCAAAGCCGACAAGGAGCAAAGCCCGGACAATTGCACAGATTTAACGAAGCTGAGAGAACAGGCGCGTGTCACATTTCCCCCCACACCCTTCTTTCACTGAGGTTAATATCGGTGGTTATTGGGAGGGTTGCGTGTGCTCAAAGGGAGGGGAATAGCTTTTCTCCCTGGGCCGTGTGCTTACAGGTCTGTTGAGAACAAGTTGGCCTTCAAAGAACGCATTTTCGATACAAATCTTCCCTTCTTCTCCCTTTGGTCTGTGGGAGCACCGGGGCATGAGCCGGGGTTGGCATTTCCTCCCTGCCCCACCACACACTGCACACACAGACACCCCCGTATGTACCAGGCGGGCTGAAACAGACAATAAATAAACACCCACCACTGAAGTCATTATTGCCTAACTGAAAAATTATTTGCTGGCAGTGTCTGTAGGATTATGACTAGCTCTTATCAAAATATGTGCGCACATAAATCATGGGGTGAGGTAATAACGACTCCTAGAAACTTCCAACTCCTCAATTATGCCCCAGCCTAATTAAACGTGTTTGGTTTTGGAGACTTAGCTGTACGGATCTGGACAGGAAGCAAGGAAGCGGCACCAGCATGTAGGAGGAAAACAAACAGCCAATGGCCACCCAGCAGTGAGCCCGAGTGTTCTGGAGGTGTGGAAGGGAGACCATGGTGTACTAGTGATAGGACAAAGGGGAACGGCTTTGAACTAGGACGGGGATATTTAGTTGGGGTGTAGGGGAGACATTCTTTACTCGGGGCAGCGAGATGTTTGCACTGCCCAGAGTGATGTCTGCCCATCCCTGGAGGTGCCCACGGCTGTGGATGGGCCCCGGGCAGCCTGAGCTGGTGGTTATCAACCAGCCCATGGCAGCGGTTGGAACTGGGAGATCTTTAAGATCCTTTCTTCGAGCCTAAGCCATTCTGTGACTCCATGGCACCAAAAATTGTTAGCGTTTGTGTAACAAACAGAGGGAGGAATCAGGCAGTGATGCAGCACGGAGCATGGCTGTGTGCTTTGGGTCCGCTGCAGTCACAGCTGCAGCTGAGTGCTTGTAGTAGAAACAGGAGCTGGGCTCTGCTCACTGCTGCTGTTGTAGCAGAGCTGGAATCCTGAGCACACGTTATTAACTCTGACTTTCTCCTCTTGCCCCACACAGGCCAAACTGCCCAACCTGAAAGAAGTGGACGTTCGTTACACCGAAGCCTGGTGAACTCTGCCTGCCTCCGACTCTCTTTTGCTTCTGATGGGAAGGAAAAGATTTTTAAAACAAACAAAAGAAAAAACAAACCAGAGAAATAACTTTTTGGTTAATTCCTGTAGAGCGGTTGAGCGCTGGGACGTGGTGGGAAGGTCGTGGTGTGAGGCGGAGGAGTTGTGTGTGTGTCGGGACATAGCAGGCCTGGACCCGAATCCTTGCAGCTTTGTGATTTCGGAATCAGCATTATTTAAATTGAAAAGGAGAAAATCTTTAAAAAAAGAGCAAAAAAAAAAAAATTAAAAAAAAAAAAAAAAAAAGAAAGAAAAATAAAAGGACTTTGTAGCAGCAGCAAAGAGGATTATAAAGAGGAAAAAAAAAAAAACACCTTTGTGGATTTTATTTGCCTTTGTGTTTTATGCCGTGTGGAGAAAAAAAATATATATATATTCATTTGTCATTATTTACCTGGGTTTCCTTGGCTGGCACCCATCCAGCCCGACCTCCTCTGTGACCAATTTTGCACCAGAAAAATCAAACTTAACAAAAATCTCCAGAGAAGAAAACCAAACGCGATCTGATTTCCAGCCCCTCGCCCCGTGTCCTCACAGTTGTTATGCAAAGTAATTTTGTTGTACATAAGATTTACATAATGCACCTATTTAAGAAAATGGTTCACAAATAACAGGTCTGGGACCTGTCTTTTATTTATGAATTGTTAATTCTTTTACCCTTTTTTTGCGTATAGTACTGTATAAACTAGTTTGCTGTCTTGTTGTTATTATTATTTTTTTTAAAGGAAGCGTCCTTGAAGAATTGCCTTTTAGTAACGCAGACTGTATTATAGCCCCTCTGTCACCACATCCATCGCTTGTCTTTCTGATTTCCAAATGTTATCAAACAGGAAGGAAGATGCCCACCTAGAGGATGCTGTCGGGAGGGGCACAGGGATTAATAAAGTCAGCTTTCCTTCCCAAGTCCGCACCGCTCTCTTTAGTCTCTTCAACCCAGTCAGATTTACACAGTGCAGTGGGGAAAACCCCGCCGTTCCTTTTGCCGCTGGGGGACTCGCAGGACTCTGCTGACTTGACCGAACTCCATCGTTTTCTGTTTGCGTCCAGTATTTCAAAACGAGGAGAAAGCAAAGCTCTCCCTCCGTGCTGAGCAGCAGCGTTTCGCTCCGACGGTTTCCCCTCTCGTCCCGCTCCGCTCTGTGCGCTCAGCTCCGCGTGCTCCCATCGCACGGCGCCACGTGGACCCACAGCTCCGACCCGTCTGCAGGTGGGACGGCCAAACCTTTGGGATTTTCCTTCCAGTTCCTTAGAAGATGATTTTATTTTGTTTTGTTTTGTTTTTTTTTTTTTTTTTAATGGGGGTTTCTTTTATAACGACGCTGTTGACTTTTGGTTTGTGTTTTTTTGTTTTGTTTTTTGGGTTTTTTTTTCATACTGAGCCTTGGTTGTACAGAGCTGCTTATTTAAAAAAGAAAAAAAAAAAAATCCCAAACACAGTTTTTTCCTCTGTTTAACACCTTTGTTTTATTCTTCAGCACCTCAAGGTTTCACATACAGCCAATGTAATTTTTTATATATAAATATATATATATTTAATCTTATTCAATGGAAGCCAAGCTTTTTTTTTAAAAATTTTGTTGCTATGTAGATGATGGCCCTTACCCAAAACTTACGTTGTTTTCCTTTTTTTTTTTCCTTCTTTTTTTTTTTTTTCCTTTTTTAAACAAATGAAACAAAAATTGAGTCTTAACTCACGTAGTGTCCCAGGTTGTTTTTTTTTTCCCCTTCAAATCCCAAACTGTACGCAGATACAGCATGGGGAGAAAGAAGAAAAAAGGTATCTATAAAAAGGAAGAAAAATGACGCCAACGTTTTCCTTAGCACTGTTGCTTTTACCAATGGTTTACTACTACTGTTCTGTAGCTGTGTACAAAGAGATGTGAAATAATTTCAGGCGAAAATAAACTGTAAGCGACTATCTTTTAGCTGCGTGCTTTGTGCTTTCTTTGAAGGAAGATCTCCAGCCCGGCGCCGTGGGGATGCTGCAGGAGCCCAAGGACAGCATCGCACTGATACGTATTTTTGGACTGCAGAGATGCTGAGGTGTGTTTTGGGACAGTGTCCCCGTGGGGAGATGTGCTGCGCTTGCATTGCCTGTTGGCTACGGTGCACAAAGTCCAGCTGCAGTGTCCCAGCTCTGCTGCAGTCCTTGGGACAGTTAGCAAACTCTTCGAGCTCTTAGGTTCCAGTTGGGAGCTCTTGGGACTGGTTTCATGAGCAATCTATGTTATGTGGTCCATATTCTCATCCATGTTTCTGTGTTTCCAGACAAGGTAAGGAGTGCTCACCCCTTGATAGAGAGAATTAACTGTGTCTTCAGCCTTCCCACTGAAATGCCACTCTGCCATAGCTGAGGCAGATGATCGTTCTGCTGTTCACATGGTAAAGGCTGGAGCATCTCTCCTATGAAGTTAAGCTCACAGATGCCCATCCCTGGAGGCATTGGAGGCTGGGCTGCCCCTGGTGTGGGGCAGGCAGTCCACGGTGCAGGGCTGGAACTGGGTGGGCTTGCCCAAACCATTCTGTGCTTCTCTGATGTCTGTGTCTGACTTCTGACTTCAAATGATCATTGCTCTGCCCTGCCGGGTGCCTTTGGCATCCAGCCAGCCCCAAATGCTGAGCACTTCGTTAGGAATTTCTAATGATGGCATCAGACAAGGGGTTCTCATATCAGTCACAAAATGTGAGAATTAGAGGTGGTATAATAATAGGAGATGCTGCGTCTCAGCTTGTGCTCAGAAAGGTTTGTCTGAGTTCTATAGTAGAACGCCTGGGCTTGTGGGGCACCCTGGCAGTTCCTCCTGGATAATGATACCTTTCTGCCTTCCTTTCAGCTGTAGCTTGTTGAAAATAGGGGCCATTAAAAACTGCTCAATTTCATTTGGGAGGTTACTGCAGCGCATCTTCCTGGGGACTCTGAGTACCGGGGCTTTCGCTTTCAACCCAAACTACCACGGTGGCTTTGATGCAAGTCCAAAGTGCACAAAGCAGCAGCACTACTTTGTTTCTGGGGCAATTTTCTCACGTCCTCATTAAAAACCTGCAGTTGTGCTGCCTTCCTATGGCTTCCCCCACTGCTCTCAGCTACATGTAGAGTTCTAGAAGGCCAAACACTGAGGAATCTCACAGAGCGCTGGTTGCTTCCAGTTTCCTAAGTGAATGGATACTAGTTAGGCACTCAGAAGCCTAAAATCCTGATAATTTATGGCTGCTTTGCTTGGTGTGAAGTGCAGGCATCCCAACAGCTGGTGAGTTGGAGAGCTGTTCCGTGTTTGTACCAGGAAGAGCTCGGTGTGTCACATTTGTATGGCTCTCTTAAACCAGGCTGAGCCCAGCCCTCCAAACCTTGAGGACCTGAGCTGTGCCCAATGCCGTGAGCCCCACGGAGACAAAAGCAGGGAGGTTTGTCTCAGGATTGCCACCCCCCTGGTGACCCACATCTCATATATGTATACATACATAAATGTATCTCATCTGGAAAAGAACTCCTTGAACCTTTCCATACGTCTGTATGCAGTGAGGGCCGTGGAGCATCTCCTGTTCTCACGCTGCAGGCAGTGCTGACCTCTCCCAGGCTCGGTGAAGCCGACCAGATGCCCCCATTAGAACACATCAGTCAGCTATATTGCTGTCTTGAATTTTTAATGATTTTTGCCAACTCAATATAGTACTTGCTTCAAAATATCTTAAGAGGATGTTAACATCCAGTTTTTTTCCATTCTCCTTCCTACTGACTGGGGAATATTAAGTAAATATTTGAGATGAACCATTTTTATTAAAAACAGATCTTGGGATATCCCTATTTGAGAGGAGAATTAAAGATGTGGGTGTTTCTCCTGCTGATCCAGTTCCTGGTATTGTTTGTTGGGTGATCTCACTTCTGTGCTTTTCGCCAGGTAGAACAACTACTGTCATATATTTGTCCTTATAAAATAGATCCCATCAGATTTTGAACATATTTGCACACAGGTCTCACCGTGACCCACTGGTCACGAAGGACCCATTGGTCAGTGTAGCTGTCAATGTAAATATGTGTCCTCTTTCTACGGATCTTTACGTGGATGGAACCAAAGGTCTGTATATGGGGTATAGCTTACAGCTCATTTCCAGTTCATTACTGTCACTCACTATCACAGAATCGCCAAGGTTGGAAAAGACCTCCAAGGTCATCCACTCCAACCCTCCATTCCCACTGCCAATATTCCCCAACTAAACCATGTTGAGTTTGCTTCACATATCCAGCAGTTGGTACAGAAACCAGCTTCTCCTTAATTCCTATTCCAACTGGGTGGGATATCAAAGCAATAATCCCTTATTTGTATCACAGTACACACTTTGAAGTTGAGTTGTTCACAGTAGCTAAATGAGATGCTTTAAAATCTTAAAAGTCTCTCCCCCCTGAAAACTCCCATTCTTAGGTACGCTTTTACTGTAAACTCAATGCTTTTGTATTGTTGCATGAAGTTCTTGGGGGGGGGGGGGGGGGGGGGGGG